ACTGGTAGGATCCCAAATCACTCCTTAAATTATGAGCCTATAACTGCATAATTTAATTATGCTGACCTGCACAAACAAGCTCCTAATTTACACTGAGGGAAGTGAGAAGGGAATTAAGCCCTGTACAGCTATAGCACCAGTCTACACACTGATCAAAATTAGTGACAAAGAGTACAAGTGCTAGCAAGGAATAGCACAAACTTCTATTTACTCAAAAAAGTGCCAGGGAGTGTGTAAAGTCCATGCAGAGCATGCATCTGAAAGCCCCAGATTGTATATGCATGAATATCCATCAATCTGCCTTGGAACAAGCCTGCCAGGTTTGAAGACCGTCATTATAGTAGGTGAAGTATGTCTTACCAGAAGATTAGAGCACTGTGCCATTTCTGTGGATCCTTTATAGCTTTGGACATCACTATGCTGATATTGACGTGGGTATGACAATATCCACTTGAGTTACATAATACTTATATTCTTGTCTTGAGGGCAGCAGTGACATTGACTTCTCTCGTAACAAAAATGGAAGAAAATGCTATTACTCTGCTGATTTTAAAATATTTGTTAAAAGATAACAAGATTTTTTATCTTTTGTTTAAAAGATATCTTAGATGGAAGGATGTTGTGGGAGTCTGGAAAAAGGTGAGAGCTCAGGTTCTGCCCAGATGTTGTGGAGCTTATACTCGTCCCCCTATCTTCTTACTTCATCCCACCATAGCTGCCCAGAGCCATTGATTTGTTTCTGGCCTAAAGGTTCTGTTTTCTTCCTATTTTTCTCCCCTTCTTTTCCACCAATATAGCACCAATATAAAGAAAATTGGGGTCAGGGGGAAGGATTCTGTTTTAGAGTTGTTCTTATTTTAGGAAATTCAAGTTCACAAAATAAATATGAATATATGCTCCCACGCTGTCAGTATCTGTGTTTTCCATATTGGCCCATGGAGTTAAAGATGATTATTTTAGGAAGTAGATAGGTAATATTTTTGAGTTTTATTCCCTCCCCCCCCCTTTTTTTAATAGGAAGTTAAGGGCACTGTGACATGTCGCCCATAAGAGTTCTGTTACACGTAATTAAATGTAAGTTTACACATTTAATCTACTTTTAAGAGCAAGAGAGACTGGTAAATGACCCAGTTAAGGAAAGTACTCAGCCTAATTGGATGTAATGATTGCTTGCTGGTGTTTATTACTGTACTAAGAGTAGACGTGTAGTCTGTGATTCTAATTTGGTTTAAAGACAGACCTGTTGTATTTGCAGCTACCATCAGTGTTTGATTCTTTCAGCTGGCGTCATGCGTTCATTTGAGAACTTTTATCTGTGTGTGTTAGAGGAAGGATATTTTTGTTTTAATATTTTTCTCCAGCTCTACCTCCAGACTCCATGGTACCTGCAAAAATACATTCAGCTCTGCATACAATGTTTTTTTCCTAAAGAAAAGAAGCTGAATCCCGTATCCCTGTGTGCTTACTACAACAGTTAAGAGCAAATAGGATTTACCACGGAGGCTCTCTGTTACCAAGTGTCTTCACTATATGAGATGACAGCATCTGATAAAATGAGCTTGGGTTCAAAAACCTCATGCTATACATCTCTTATTTGGTTACTCTATAAGATGCAACCCTGTTTTCATATGAGGACAGTCCACTAATAATCTGATACTGATCACACTTAAACTATCAGTCTAAATAAGAAGTTGAAGACAATAGGGTTACACCAGTGTAAAGTCAGAATCAAGCCCTAAAACTCAGATTTCAGTGGTGTTCACTTATCAAACTTTGTTTAATTATGCATATTGCACTGCACACACACACAATCCTAGCTTTTCAAGAAATAATGCTCAAAAGGATGTGTTGTATTTAAATGTGTTTACCATAAACAATATTTGTTACTTTAAAATTGCACACTGGATGTTATGCCCAGAGGAGCAGCACTTGGATTTCAAAACACTTACGTAATTATTCTTTATTTCATAAACTCTCAGAATGATAAATGAAATCAGAACTGACTTTGAAAAGCAAGGTCACTGATGACCAGTGCTTAGCCAAGGTGTCTCAATGTTCACTATGATGGATTTGGGAGGTTTGTAATGTAATAGATCACACGCAAAAATGAAATTAAAGTAACATTAAACTCACAAAAGCAAGGAATTTCAGAATGGAGGCTTCTGCTTCATCCTTAATTCACCTTGTTGTGCCTGGTTATTAAAAAGCCCTGCATGAGCATAGCAAAGTAAATTACTGGGAGCCTTAACTGTAAATTACTTACTTTTTTGTGGGTTAAAGAAAAATCCTTAAGATCATATCAGTGTATTTTCATATATGTTGTTAATGATGATAACAGTAGGTTTAAACAAACAGGGAACAGCATAGCACTGTAGATCCAAGGAGGCGTTTGACTTTGTTATGTTAATAGCGGTGTGTATAGGAAAACTCATTTGCTGTATTGAACATCTCTAGTCTGTATAAGTATCAGCATCTTTACAAAGAAGTAGTACATACTTCAGAACTATGATAACCACCTCTGAAACCTCATCATCCTGTCTCACTTCACTGGAAATTATGTAAAGTTATAGAAGCAGGGAGAACAGAATGGATGACCCATATAGAGCTAGAAAACTGTAAAGGGTGAAATAGACCGATATCATCATGACTGAATTCATTGGTGCATTTATTTTTTAGAATATTTCACAGTTTCCTGTTGTTATATCTAGTGCAGAATGAATAGAACAGGCATGGGTAAATACAATGTATACTTAAGAATTCTAGAGGGAACTTAAGGAAGAAATCAAGATGCAGCAGGAAAAAAAAAGGAGGTGATGGTGGAAGTTTTTATTAATGTGAGTTTGCTTGAATAGAGAATTCTGTTTAATCCTGATCATTGCTTGTTTATCTAATTTGAAATACAACCCCTCTGCATTATTTCCTTTCTGTTCACATATACCCATATCCATATACAAGCAAGCATGTATGTACATATAGTTAATATGGGTCATCTGTGTGTGTGTGTGCGCGTGCGCGCGCGCATGTGCACACTTGGAGAAGGAGAATCTGCAACAACAAAACAGATTGGCTTATTGCAGTGTGACTTCAATAGATTTATCACTTTACTGATTGTTTTTGCATAATCTAGAGCAAAATGTGTTATCCTTCCTTATCAAATGGATGAATACACACTGCTTTCCTGGCAGAGTTCAATACAAGATCTTTGTTCCTTGATTTCCAATTCAAATGAAACCTGTTAAAAGTACTGTAAGGTGTAAAAAGCTTGGCTCTTGCAAGCTACAGTATGAGTACAACACAGCATTGAAGAGTAGGTTTCTAAATAGCTCTAATAACAGTGTAGAGAGGATGCCCTGAGTACGGACTAAAAACTGTTCTTTAATTGGAATATTTGTCTTCTGTTTCTTCATTACCCTTTTCTTTTTTTCCTTTGCCTTTCACTGATGGTTGTTGCTAATGCTCCCCTCCCCTCCTGGTGGGCCAGCCAACAGTTCCCTCTGGAGGCAGCATCATTATATCTGCCTGGTTCACTTAGTAGCAGATGGTGAAGAGCAGTAGAGCTGATACACTGCACTTCACAGAAACCAGAATCCTTCTGGTCCCTCTTCAACATACAGAGGCTTGCCTGATTTGAGACTGAGAATTCTATGTACTCTTCCCAACCTGAGTTTTCTTGTTTGCAAATGTGTGTTGGACAAGTACCTTGTACCTTTTTGTGATCTACTTTCTAACTGATTAATAGAAAAATTAAACATGTGCAACTTTTATATATTGTAAAAACTATTTGTTATGTTACTTCTATTTTTACCAAAAATTAAAGGGAGAAGACAGCTCTGATGGTTTTCAATTTCAGTGGCTGACAGGCTTTTCTTTCGGTATCATTACTGTCTGCCAAAGGACAATCTGTTTGCTCTGAGACAGTTTTAATGTGAACTGACTACCAGAGGCAGAACTTCCATTGGCTCTTTTACAGGGGTAATTTACACTTTAACAAGGTATTGTGACAAGGTGGTAATTATATTTTTATCACGTCATTATGAGACTGCCACCTGGAAAGCCCTAGCTGATTAATTAGTGGCATATATTAAATTTATAACCCTAGAACTCTAAAGTTATCATACCTAAGTGGTGTAATTATATTAAGTTGTGGTGTGGCAGTGAATTGGTGCAGATGCTCTATATCCCCCTATTTAAATAGGTCTTATGGGTGCCAGTAGAGGGCAGGGAGCTGCAAAAGAGGAAAGACATTACAAAGAGAAATGTTAATGTTGCTAGAGGTTTTGAAACCAAGTCTAGCATGGCCAGCAGTTCCTAAAGCCCTTTCACAGATGCATATTTTTAAAGAGATGCCATTTCCCAGTATTTTAGTACACCTCAACACCCACCCAAGAAAACTCAAGTATTAGTTTTTTTCCTTTGTCCCATATGTTTATTATTTCAAGCATTTCTTGTTCATTTAAGCTTTTCCAACTCAGGTAACTGTAAGTATTCCTTATTGTACATGCTACTTCTGGAGGGCTAGGTTGGCTGTTCTAGAGATTGCATCACCTGTCTGTGACTGGCAGGAAGGAGTAGTTTTGGAGAGGGTTTTTTCTCCATCTCTTCATCTGACATTCTTCTCTGAATCAGTTAACCTCTAAAGGCGCCATCCTGCCCTACATTCTGCCTACCTTCAGACTAACAGAGCTACCCACCTCACTGTTAATATGTCCATTTATCTTCTTGTGTTTTTTCATTGTCTCAGGGCTGCTGCTTTTTTTTCTCTCTTCTTCAAAATTGAGAAGACAAGAGGGGCAATAAAGCTGAAAATGTATTGAGTAAATTGTTCACAGCAAATATTTTGATCATGTTTATCTACATATAGTTATAAAATGAATAAGTAACCAGTTTAAGTTGTTGAATACTAATGTTCAGAATCTAATTTTTTTATAATGATCAACTTTCACCATGTTCCAAACTCCGTTTACAGAGAACTGATATTTTCTTTTCTCCTTCCTTTGTAGAAAATGAAGTAACTTCTTTTCCAGTCTTAGTGAGTGACCAGAGTGAAATTGTTGATACCAATGGAGCTGGAGATGCATTTGTTGGAGGTATTGATAACTTACTTTACTTTCTTGTTTGGAAGTTATTCTATTATTGCCTGTTTATACAACATGCCCTTTTTGGTTTAGAGTTTCAAATTGTTCTTTAGAATAGATTTTGTTCTTTTCAGGCTTTTGATTCAAATCCTGAGATTCTGTGTTTTCACCAAGTGTTAATTCTCTCAGGAAAAAAATGTGTTCTATGACTTTAAAGATAATATGTGATTATGCTATACCCTGGTTGTTTTCACGAGATTAATTGTTTCTGTCAGAATGTTGCATAAACAAGCTGCATCAAATACACTATATACTGCATGGAAATCCCTCCTGGCTTAAATGTTAACACATTGTTGTTCTTTAAAACAGGTTGTGGTGAATATTAAACAGCATGTTAATAATTAAATGTAATGCTTCTGATCATGTCATTCTTGTCAGAACATCAGCTTTCACTACAGGTATTTGGACTTTTAAAAAAAGTATAAAGGGTTAATTTTTTATTTTAAACTAGACAAGAAAAATATCTGGCACAGTTTAATATCCATTTGCAAACTTACTATTTTTTGGCATGAGCTCTAAAAAAGTGAGGGTGTTATGTCTATGCCTGTTTTTAAAATGTCTCAGTGTAAGCCAAAAGCAAGTAAGTCCAAAAGTTCCCTTGTTGATTGTAACTTTCATGTAGTGCAGTGATATACAATTATATACTGAAGGGTTTCAGATTCACTAAGTAGTAGTTGTAGGGTGCCTCCACTTTTTCTAACTTACATGAAACATGAGCAAAGGAACTTTATAAATGGAATCACAGGCTTAATTGTGCAGTAATAAGTAGAGTAATAAACTCTTGTAAGATAAATTGTGTTACCTGAGTTAAGGCTGAAGAATTGGGCCCAAAACTCATCCCTACTTAGCATAACACTTAAATTTATTATTAACTTTCAGTATGTGCCTAAATCCTGTTGAAATTAGGTATGATACTACGTGAATGCATAAATTGTTTCTTGGATCCAAGAAATAGAAATGGAAAAGAAAAGTTAGGTCAGGTTACCCATTATCTCATCAGTGCAGCTTTACCCCCTTTCTGTTGTTCCTAAATAGCACACAGGCGTTTCTTCAGCACATGACTATATTTGAACCACTAAGTAACAGTGATCATAACACGTATAGTTTTTTAAATGCTTGTTCTTGTGTGTACACATGCATTTAATGTGACTGAGATTAGAACATTCTTACCAGTGGTTTCAGCAGGCTCAGTTTCTCATCATGAAAATGAAATAACATTTTTGCCAAATTCAGTCTAAGATCTTTGGGTCTAGTGGGTAGTGCTCAAGGGATCCGCATGAAAGATTCTAGCTAAACCTTACCTGAGCAAGAAGCTCATATGCTTAAGAGTCTGCTGTTCCAGACTCTGTATTACATATAATTTCCTAAAATGAGTGTGCAATGCTGTAAGCTGAAAATCTGCTCAAGCCATAAGTCAGATAGAAAGTTATGATACTGACATGCTCACCTTGAGTAAGTCAGCCATAAAAACATATTATCAAATTGAAGAATAGCAAGAAAATTAACCTCATGTGGAGTAAAAGGAGGTGCTTTTTTACGAGTGACTGCATGAACTCAAGAAAGCAAAGACAACTTAAGTAACTGCTTATAGGACATCATTAGTGGAATCCCACAACATGTCATTTTCTTTGTCAGGGATGGATTGAATACCAGGGATGAGCTAAGCCAGGGGTATCAAGCTCATCTGAACCTGCAGGCCAGATGAGGGTCTCTGGGCTGGTCTGCAGGCTGGCCTAGACCGGACCAGGAGCATAGAGTCATAGAATTATAGAAAATTGGGTATGGAAGGGACATCAGAAGGTCATCTAATCCAACCCCCTGCTCAAACCAGGACCATCCCCAACTAGATCATCCCAGTCAAGGCTTTGTCTAGCTGGGTCTTAAAACCTCCAAGAATGGAGAGTTCACAACCTCTCTGGGTATAACATGTTCCAGTGTTTTGCCACCCTCCTAGTGAGAAAGTTTTTCTTAATATCTAACCTAAATTTCCTTTGCTGCAACTTGAGACCATAGCTCCTTGTTCTGTCATCTGCCACCAATGAGAACAGTCTAGATCCATCCACTTTGGAACCACCCTTCAAGTAGTTGAAGGCTGCTATTAAATCCTTCCTCATTCTTCTCTTTTCCAGACTAAATAAACCCAGTTCCCTCAGTCTTTCCTCATAAATCATATTTCCCAGCTCCCTAACCATATTGTTACCCTAACCATTTTCATTGCCATTTCCATTGACTGACTCCATGTGCATCGCCTGCAGTGCTGGGTTCAGCCCATGTGCTGCATGCAACAGGCACCAGTCCTGGGGCTCACTGTCCACAGATGCGGCCCCCACTCCCACCCCATGTGTTGCATGCAGTGCTGGGTAACCTACATACCACAGGCGGTGTGTAATCCATGCTGTCCCCCCATGCAATGGTGCAGTGCCTCCAGCACCAGGTCTAGCCCACATGCTGCATGCAGAGACCCACAGACTGGATCATATGGCTCCACGGGCCTTATGTTTGTTCCCCCTGGTCTAAGCAACACCATTGGCGTTTGCAAGATTTGTTCATACAGTGGCAATGGAGAACAGCTTGTGCAAGAGGCATAACAGTGTGACCAGGCACACAGAGCAGTGGCCACAAACAGGGAAGCCTCTGGGTGCTGCAGCATTCCCAGGTTGGCACCCTGGCTGGCTGTTTCAGTTACCCAATCCTAGTTATGCCACTGACTCATGGAATTTTCAAAATTTACCTGCAAAAACCAAGAAAATCAGTACCTCCAGACTTATAGCCCCCCAAAAAAATAGAATTTGAAGATTCCAGACATAATGAATTTAACTTTGGTGTCCATCTTACAAAATGAATCAACAAGTTATCCATTTTTACTGGTCATGGATTCCATTTTTGATGAAGTAGAAAAAGGTTGGTGGGACTATCAGCAATGCATATGAAAAGACAGCTAGCAACTTAGTTGGGTTTTTCAAATGTAGGATAGAAGTCTAGGTCACCAAGACCATATGAGATGCTGTCACCAAAAGGAAATAGGCAAACCTGCATCTCCTCAATACTTATGGGCAAAAGGACTATAATGAGCAAAAGACATACATGTAGAAAGGTAAATGGGTACAATGATCTGCAAAAACAGGCTAACAAACATATATATTAATAGGCAGACCCAGGAAGCAAAGACATATGCCAAAGAAGTGATAAAACAAACCTTTTCCAAACCACAAAAAGGCTTGCAGGTGGCTGGTCATTGCTGCCATGGTTCAGTAAAAGGCAAACATGGAAATAGATTCACCAAGACAGAAGAACAAATAAAAAGATGGGTCAAGCATTTTTTCTTTATATTAAACAAGCCTTCCCTGAAACAATATAGGCAGGATAGAAGAACTTGATGTTAACTGCAAGAAAATCACTTTGTTTGAACTCAAAGCAGCTGTCAACGAACTAAAGAAGTATAAGGCAGCAGGCCAGGATAAGTAACTGCAGATCTCCTCAAAACAGTCAATGAAGAAAACATGAAAATGCTATAGCAACTCCTCTACTGAGTATGGAGGAGAAATCCAACTTGAAAGCCTGGAGAAAACACACCATCATAAAATTACCTAGGGGTAGACAATTGAGTGACTGTAGAAACTTGCCTGGGATCACTCTGCTGGCAGGCCCAAGGAAACTCGTGTACAGTGGTACGGAAGAGAATCTACAGTGCTGCTATTCAACATCATTGGGCAAATCAAAAAATGGTAGCTACCCCTTATCTTATATTTGAATGACTCCTGGAAAAGCTTTGACAACATAAAGATTTCCCTGTGGCAGATACTGGAAATCTACAGGTACCCTTGTAATATTATCCAGATCTTTCCAGAATGTTTGCCAAGATACCATATATACTGAAAATGAACTAATAGCTAAGGCCAGAGTAATGGGCCATCAGTTAGATGAATTCCAGCTGCTCCTGGCAGGAAGGACATTTCTAGAGGATTCTGAGACTCATGAGGAACTAGGACAGTGTTGATGGTGGGGGTGGTGAATGGGTGTTAGGATTGGCTTGGGGGTATTCAGGGAACTATCTTGGAGACCAAAAGGGATCTTTGGATTATCCCAGGCCTAGGGAGTGGCCAGGTACCCAGCAGTCAGGTCAGCTGGCAGGATCAGCAAGAAGGCAGATCTGAAAATACTGGTAGGACTCTGGGAGACTAAGTGGTAGCCAGATGAGAGATTTCTGCCTCCAGACTTTACAGTCAGTTTTTCTTCTATCATTCTTTTCTCCTATATAATAAATGGTTTGTTGGATTTTTTCCTCCTTATTGATTTCCTGTGGTGAAGAGTAATATTCCAAGCTAATCCCATTCTATAGAAAGGGGTACCTAAAATTCCCAGGGGAAGCCACTGGGAGCTGGCATACATTCCCTTGCTGCAGCTCTGTGGTCTGGTATGAGGTCAGTGGACATGAGGCTTGAGAGGATAAGGAGTATCACAAGGCAAACCTTGGTCTGTTCCTTGGGACCAACAGCAGGGAGAAACTTGGGACTCTAGGTGTATCCCATGAATGGGTTTGTGATAGTGCCATGCTGGATATTCAGAATAAAGGGTCAGCTGAAATAAAGAATGTTCAAATCTTGGAGTAGGCATAACAATCCCCGGGAATACATCTGCAAGAAATACACATGAGAAGGTGGCTCCCAAAACTATTTCTACGTTCTGTCAATCCTCCTCTTCACCTACCTCTCAGAATATACCACTTGATCTGGGGCACGAGAGAGAGAAAATGTTGCGGCTTCCCTGCATGTGGCAGAATGACAGGTGGCTGTCTGCCTTGGAAAAATGTAATTGTGGCAGGTTCAGCCCATTCTATCTGACAGTAATAGCAAGCCTACAAGGAAAGTTTACATATTCAAATAGAAAAGTATCAGGTGTAGTATGATCAGACCTCTCCCATCATGGTTCCTGAACACACTGGACTATATGTG